AGTCGATTCCGACTCATGAAATTTAGTGTCTTTGTTCCCATAAAAGAACTTTTGATATTTCTTTTTCCATTTTACCTTGGGGCAAACACATACATGGATATGTGCATGCACACTTGCTCACAGACACAATACCACTGAGTCAGCAGTCCTGGCAGTTCAAATAAAGCAGGATACGCTTTCCTTTCTTTATTCTGGTGGAGCCAAAATTCTCAACATACGCCCGATGTTTCAAATATTCTGGGTTTACCTTCTCTATATTTGTGAACTTTGAATTTTATTTTCACTCACAAACATGGGATTTCCATATATTACAATGGTGAATTATAAGCTCTGATTTGTTGCTCTAGATTAGCTCTGTTAATACATCTTTAAACAGAATAGAAGTATATTAAGCATCAAAATGATTAACAACAATGGCAAGAACAGCAGCAACGAGAAAAAACCTCTAGTCCCAATACTATTGATTATAGAGGCAATAACTAAGGTTTTTGCAACTATGTAATCTGAAAACTGAAAACCATGGGTATTGAATGAAAAAAAAGAATCATTCAGCATGTTAATATTTCATTTAAATGCTCCTGAAAGTTCTCATTAATCAACAGCATCATCAATCGTGAACGTTTTCATACCATTTTCTCATATGTTAATATTTTTGTCTTCATTACAGATTTTTCTTTCAAAATCTAAATCCACGGAAATGTGTATTGTATAAGCCAAGGAATAGTATTTTGGATGAAGATTGTAGGGACAAAAATGGTTTTATCTGTAAGCAAAGGTTTATTTAAGAGTTTCTCGGAGTTGACAGGCAATGCACGGTCAGGTTTACTTTTTATCTCTTATATTGTTGCTAATTATCTACTTTTTAGGTCTGTAAATTTTTCGTTTTTTGGCTCAGTACACAATTTGTATATATTTGAATCCATATGTTTTAAAATGGATTAAATTTCTCTGTCTATACTTGAACTTATTAAGCATCAAGGTAAAGAATGTTATGAATATTTAGATTTTATGTTTTTGATATTAAATGTATTGTAGTTTCATGCATCTTTTCTTGCAAATGATCTCTGCACAAATTTAAGTAAAATTTACAACAGCAAATACTATATATATCAACATAATTTCAGTGCTTCACATAACATACTAAATTGGGAAGTCCCATTCTCACCTTTCTAAAAGTAAAACTATTTCTAAAACTTTTTGTTAGCTCTTTCTGGAAGTATATATAAACATTGGCTTAGAGCTGAAAGTTCCAGTGCTATACGCTATATCACAGTTTCCTCAAACGTGTCATCCAGTTTTAGAGCAAAACAAATTTTGTTTCTTTTCCTCAATACCCTAAATTCTGAGAACAATTGGACATCTTTGGCCATTACTTTGAAATATATCTTTCCAATATGATGGCTTCCAGATTTTCCAAGGGGAATGAGAATCCAGGTAGTCCAGGGTGCCCCAGAACTTTCTCTTGCCTTATGCTTATCCGTCAGTAAAAGGGTCATTTACATGTTGATTTAGAAAATAATATATTGAAATCATTTATTCCCTGTCCTTGAGCACAGGGAATTTGACCCAGTTGGAAAAGGGCTCACAAGGACCCACAAGGACACATCAACTGGGCTCTGAGGTATAAAGACAATAGCTAAGGTAATCTTGGAAAATATCTTTTAGGGAAACTTTCACATAAGCCAATCAAACAGAAGACAAAAGACTTTCCATTCTTACCTTTTTCTGTCAGTATTTAGTGAATAGAAGATCTGTTGGGCCATTGGGGACCCCACTGAAAACTGTACCAATGATTGTTAAGAAAGACAATTCAAAACGTAGGATCACAATTTCTAGGCAATCTGAAAAGGTGAAGCTTTCAATGGTTTTGCCCATTTGTAATGTTGATATATACTGATCGCTCTGTAATGGTCTTTGGACTGGGGCAGACATGGCTGAGGCAGCATGCTTGTCCCTTTTCCCACTCTTGCCTGTTCTGTACTATTCTTTGGACTTGGGCAGACATGGCTCCAGCAGCATGCTTGTCTGTTTCCCACTTTTGTCTTTTTGAATATATGCCAAATAAAACTGTCTTTTTGCTTTACTAAAATTTATATTTTTTCCCCTACAACAAGGTACATTGAAAATCTTATTTTCAAATCAATAAAAAAAAAATTTTTCCTAAAAGTCTGGCATCACATACTACATAATTCACTTTTTCTTTTTTTTTTGTGAGCAGATCAAACGATCTTTTGAGGGTGTTTTGAGAGTGTGGTAAAAAAGGGCAGAGATAATGATAAGTATGGTCTGACGCCGGGGCCTGGCTGGGATCTTCGTGACCTACAAGCCACCAAAAGCCAATTCTTTTTTATGACTCTTGCATAAGCATTTTAATAAATTTGGATTGACATCTCTATTTGTTTTATAGTTTTATATTTCAATTAAATGAAAACAATCAATATATAATAACTGATCTCATTATACAAAGAACCAGTGAGAGAAAAGAACCTATCAGGTTTTATTTCTCAAAGTATATGCAAAATAGGACTCTAATACTGAACTCTTCCCATTCTTATATAATGATTCACTTAGGGAAAAATGCACATCAATTGTATGAAGAAAGATGCAGGTTTTAAAATGCTTGAACTCTGACTACAGAAATTATGTATCACACTTTGAATATTTACCATCCTCTGGTTTTACTGTTTATGTGTTTTTAAAGTAATACACTTTTAGTTGAACTAAAAACTCAAACAGTAGTATAGAGGCATCTAATGAAAATCAGTTTTCAGGTCTCAAGCGTACCATCTCTGTCCTCCTCCCCGAGGCAGTGTTTTCTGGTTTGGTTTTGCTCTTTCTAGTGGGTTTCTCTGTCAGGGCAAGAGAAAACTCAGTGTTTGTGTTTAGCCACATCCAGTATAGGTTCAAGGCTGTTTTCCCTTTCGTG